AGAATAAGTTGCAGGAACGAGCGGAGGTGAACAAGCGCAGGTAAGTTATGCGATTGATTTAAAGTGTCGGGGTGGGTGTGTTTTACGTGTAGCAGTTTGTGTATTTTGAGACTGTGCTTTGATGTGTCAGTGAGATGAGGATTGGTAAGAAAGATATGTTATTGATGAATGGTGATTTTTTTCATGTTTATATTTGTCAAAAGTGTTTGCAAGAGGTAAAGGAACAATGAAGTGGAGGTGTTTGCATCTATACAGAACACAAGTGCCTATTTTGTGGAATTTCATTGAAATGTGATACTGTATCACCCATACACAATATTGTTTTGAGGATGAACATGCACTGCCAAGAGTAATATTCTAACTAATTTATTTTTTCCATCTTTTTCAGGCAACACTATTGATGAACACCAAATTTGCCTTCCCTGTCCGGTTCCCATTCAACCCATCCAGTATTCACTTGGAAGATATTGAGCTTCCAGAATCTCTCAACCTCGTTATGTTGAAGAAGGTCTAAAAGAACCCCCAGTCACCAACTCCACACACATGAGAATGAAACAACCTGATGGAAAAATAAAGGCTTTTACTTTGTCCTTTCCAAGTCAATCCAGCATGGTTGTTTGAGATGCTGAGGTTGTAGGGAGAGGAGATAAGAAACAAAGGGTTTCCCAGTAAGTGTGTGAAGTCTGGGATGGAGTCCGGCCCTGTTGCATGGTCTGTTTTGATGGCTGAGACTGCTTAAAGGCAAGGAACTCAGGGTGGGACAGCCTTTTTTTTCCAGATCCATGCTGAGTCAGGGCCACCAAGGGCTGGATTTTGAAACTTGTTAAGAGTTTCAGGTATAGTTTCCAAAATTTAAAAACCAGATAGTAGCTCAATAGCATTTACATGCAGTACTTAAACCTGAAGGCTTTCAGAATGGTTACATTTGTACTATGGCTTTTGTTGTACATGTAATGTAATGAAGAGGAAAGAAAAAGAAGTGAATTAGTTCTGGTTATTACAGCCTTGCTTATAATCAGTTTGACTTTTGGTTGAGACATATCTGGCAGTATGGATGGTTGTATGGGGTGGGCTTTCCGATGCTTGACATTTGTTTGTATTATATAGATTTCTCTTTCTCTGTGTCCAGAAACAGGATTAACTCACCCCAACAAAAGAAAATATTGGTATTAAACCCCCCAAAATATATCCTACTGCAGCCTTAGAATTAAAAAAAAAAGTATTTTTGTTTATACATGTAATTTTTAAACCGGTAAAAACCTCCTCATAAGAGTTGCATGGACACCCCACTTTGGGCGACTCAAGGAAAGATAAAAAGGAAATACTATATGATATATACATTCCATGAGCATATTCCAGTGATAAATAGCATTCCTGTATTTAGGACCAGTCACAGTACCTAAGACAGCACCATTGTATATTTACTTTGTGCAGCACGAAGCAGCAAAGAGCAGTTACTGTGTGTATAACTGTTTTAACTTTGGTTCTAGTGTGTTGTAAACAGTTGATGCTGTAGCACTCTAAACACATTCCATGACCTCTAGTTGAACATTACTGTAGTGTAATATATGGTTAATAGTGTTATTTATTTATTGTATAGATGTTCAGAGTTTAACATATGGCATAGTTCATATATTGTAAGATTCCATAGACTATCCTGATATCAGAAGGAGAGAAGAAAGTGGATGAATTGGTTTATGGTAATTATTGACATTTTTTATGATTAATAGGGTATTTTATTATATTATTGTTATTATTATTATTATTATTATTATTATTTTTATTGTAATCATTATTATTGTTATTATTATCATAAATCATCATTAATACTATTATTATCTTTATTAATTATTATAACATTTTTATTCTGATCATCATTGAAACTTCAGCCAATAACTTTAATTAACATGACTAATATGTTATTTTATACATTTTTATTTTCTTGTACTTAATTAAATTACAGTACATTCCATAGGGATCTGTTGGTCATAATTTCAATGGCTAATAATAAGATGTCATTTTCTGCATCTCATTTAGTCCAAAATTTGCATTGCTTGGCATACAAAGTTTTTGTTGCATACCTCAAATATTTTTACAGTAAGTGCATAGGAAAAGAAAACTTTTTATGTAAACACATAATCAACATTGGGCAAAAACTCCCGTGAGCCCCACCCAAAATCCCAAGTTCTCAAGTTTTGCATGCTTTGTATATATATCATACATTTTCTGGAAGGGTGAATATTCTAGCATTTTAGGGTACCCACAAGGGCTGTTATTTGGTTTCAAAGAGGTTTGGATGCTAACTTCGGCTTTTGAATACTGTCATTTTGCCGGGCTGTGGTAGGTAGTGGCAGAGGTAGTTTGACAGATTTTGACCCCAGGTTAGGAAGCCATCTGAGAAATGAGAACACCTTTAGTATTCGGGTACTATCACCCTGTACAGTATCATATGCACGATTAGCATCATCACATGCTTGTATACTGGTTCAGGTGTACAATGTGACCATAGTTAACTCTATATTAACTTGTGTGGTGCAGAAGCTATTATGTAGCTTTACTTTCATGGTATAGCAGATGCTGGCTGCTATTATTATTATAATTATAATTATTTATGCTTCAATTATTGTTTTTGATTATTATGAATTATGATTCATTATTATTATGATTACTACTAGGTTTTGAGGCCTTTTTTTATACCATTTTTTATGTTTGCCAGTTTGCCCAGATAAATGAAAAAAAATTCTTGATCAGTGCCAGGTACTCCTTGGTGGGGATGATACAGGCCTCAGTGACTTAATTTTGAGTAGTGACATAAGTTATTGAGATATTTATTTGTGGTTTCTGACACTGCAGAGTAGGTGCCACTTTGAAGTTTTTTTTTATTGTACGGAAAGAGATGACAGTTACTTTTTGCACAGCGGACAGGTAACTGAGGTGCCACATAGATTGTTTGTGAAGAAATGATAACTTTGTAATGAAATTTGTGATCATGGCCGACATATTTATTGAATTAAAGTCACTGGTTTGAATTGAAGATCATCTGTTTTGTTTTAATCCTTTTTTTCTTTATATGCATAATGTAAACATGGTATAAATCATTATGTCACAGAATGCTTGGTTGATTTTTTTTTCTTTTTTTTGTAGTGCATACAAGTATATTATGATATTTTTGTTCTGTAAGCTTCCTTTTAAATGTATTTTGTATGATAAAAATGTAGAAATGCAAAAGGCTGTTTTCAGTGTGTTTTTATTTCTGCTGAATGATTTTCATTGTATATAGGTAAGATCTGATTTTCACCAGTGTTAACTTTATTGTGTGTTGCCTTGTGATTAAGAAAAGAATGTTGATTCAAAGTAAATAAATGCAGACATTACTATGGAATTTTATTTTCATTTCCCTTGTAGTTCTTTTATGACTTATGTCAATGTTTATAAGCATGAGAGGAATATAAGCATGAGTTCTGAATTGAAATCTACACTAGNTAATCAATTACCCCTCTCACATCAGTTAGTAAAAGATCCAAAAGATTCCCACTCCTGTGAGTTGCACCACCATTCATACTTTGTAAAAGGACTAGCATTAAAACCAACTCTAGAATATAAACACAAACCTTGGGCTCGAGGCGGAGAATTCCTTCGTAGCAACAAGGGTTTATTAAAATTAGGTAAAAGCAACTCTGACGTGTGTCTCATGTCTGAAACCAGAGTTTCAGCACAACAAATAATGTCAAATTTTGTCGAGATAACTGCAAGTTCATTCAAATTCCCTTAAAGTACATGAATATTGTTAAAATGTAAATTACAATACCTTAGACGACAAGGACCAGGATTCAGCTCAACATCACCACTTAAAAATAACAAAAACATAAATTTGAGAAAAAACTCAATTATAAAAAGCAGATTCTTAGCACCCCCCTGACCACTGAAGGCCTGTTGGGGACTGGGGGCCATGGCTAAATGAATATTCATGATTGTAATAAGAAAAGGGGAAAGTAAAAAAGATAATGTGAAAAAGGAAGGCATACAAGAATTGCAGGGATGTGCCTTCCTACAATAGGGGGGTGGCTGAATTCAGGAATGTTGGGCACACAACTATGGCTACAAATTCAGAGAGTTCACCTCAAGGATACCGTTGGTAGCTAAACTACTCATCCGTCTTTGTTTATACAGCATGGATACCTAGAGCCCTCATGACAGGAACACTCATACACTTATTGAGGACAGACAAAGGACCGGTTGTGCTTAAGTGAGAAGAATTAAGGGGGGTATTTCCTCCACACCCTAGGTTCTCAAAGCCCAACAAAGCTGCTCATCTGCTCAAAGACCGTTGGCAAACAAAGTTTGCTAAGGTATACCGTTCATATATAAACATACATATACATATATACAAACATATATCTATATGTATATACAAGTATATATATATATATATATATATATATATATATATATATATATATATATATATATATATATATATTATATATATATATATATATATATATATATATATATATATATATGTATATATATGTGTGTGTGTGTGTATATTATATATATAATATATATATATATTATATATATATATATATATATATATATATATATATATACGCAACACACACACACACGCACACACACACACACACACACACACACACACACACACACACACACACACACACACACACACACACACACACACACACACACACATATATATATATATATATATATATATATATATATATATATTATATATATATATATTTATTTATTTATTTATTTATTTATATTATATATATATGTATATATATTTATTTATTCATTTATTTATTTATTTACGCACATAGATATGTGTGCATACGTGTGTGTGTGTGTGTGTGTATTATATATATATATATATATATATATATATATATATATATATATATATATATGCACACATATGTTTATACATATGTTTGCATACGTGTGTGTGTGTGTGTGTGTCTGTGCGT